CCCCCGGCGCTGCCGGCCGGGAACAGGAGCTGCGCCGAGCGTTCCGCGCACCAGCGTTCCGCCCGGCGGGGCGCAGGGTGCCCGCCCCCCGCCCAAACCATCCCAGTCACAGCCGGTTTCTTATAGATTTTCACTCGGTGCCAGGAATTGCAGGCACGTAAACCAAGTCTTGGGATGGCCCTTGTGAAGCATTGCAGAAGACCAGATACCTGCAAGGGTCTCAGTTAGGGCCACAAAGCACTTAGTTCTAACGATTTTGTGGAGGAAACAAAAATATGTGTCTTAATAAAGTTCACATGTCTAGTCAGATGGTTCTTATTATTTCCATCTTTGAATACTCACTGAATTGGCTCTGCATTAGGGACACCAGTCCTGTCCCAGCGGGATGATGGCTCACCTACGCCAGTTTCCTAAGCGTTTCCTAAGTACATATAAGTTTCCTAAGTACATAAGTTTCCTAAGTACATATTTCTTGGTATTTAAGAAACAGATGTAATAGAACCCATAAATTTCCGTTCCAAAATGAGTCTTTTTTTGACTTGTCAGCAGTACAGCTGAGGATAAACAAAACAGGTAGCAGCATCCAGAACTGTGCTGCCGTGGTATCTGAAGACCAAAGTTACCCCTCCAAAGGACAGACTATCATAGAATCATAGAATTGTTAAGGTTGGGAAAGATCCTTAAGATCATCGAGTCCAACTGTTAACCTAACACTGCCAAGTCCATCACTAAACCATGTCCTCAAGCACCACGTCTACCCGTCTTTTAAATACCTCCAGGGATGGGGACTCTACCACTTCCCGGGCCAGCCTGTTCCAGTGCCTGACAAACCTTTTGGTGAAGAATTTTTTCCTAATATCCAACCTAAATCTCCCCTGGCGCAGCTTGAAGCCGTTTCCTCTCGTCCTATCGCTTGTTACTTCAGAGAAGAGACCGACTCCCACCTGGCTACAACCTCCTTTCAGGTAGTTGTAGAGAGCAATAAGGTCTCCCCTCAGCCTCCTCTTCTCCAGGCTAAACAACCCCAGTTCCCTCAGCCGCTCCTCATAAGACTTGTGCTCTAGACCCTTCACCAGCTTCATTGCCCTTCCCTGGACACGCTCCATCACCTCGATGTCCTTCTTGGAGTGAGGGGCCCAAAACTGCACACAGTATTCGAGGTGCGGCCTCACCAGTGCCGAGTACAGGGGCACTATCTCCTCCCTGGTCCTGCTGGCCACGCTATTCCTGATACAAGCCAGGATGCCATTGGCCTTCTTGGCCACCTGAGCACACTGCTGGCTCATGTTCAAGCGTGGGTCAACCAACACCCCCAGGTCCTTTTCTGGCAGGCCGCTCTCCAGCCACTCCTCCCCAAGCCATCTTGTATTTCAGAGCATAAATTGTTTCAAGAAATTTAAAAGTAACTTCCTTGACAGCCAGCTAATTCAAGCGCCTCTCACCTTTCTCTACAGCTTGTGGTACTGAAACCATTAAATATAGAACAGCGGGCCTCGGGTTTCAGCCCGTACGGTGCTGTCGGCTAGTTTTGCAGCGGCGTCTCAGCACCCAGCTCCTGGTCATTGCCTCGCTTCTTGCCGTTTTCAGAGGGAGCTCAGGTGCCCAAGGAGCGTGGAGCCCCTCTCTGCGTGCAGCAAGGCTGCTGTGCTTTTTCGCTTGTGCCTTCCTTCCAGCTGGGTGGCAGACGGCAGGCACAGCTCAGAGGTATCATGTAGGAAGCACAAGCTGGTAAGGGAAGGGAAAAAGGAGACAAACCTTTTTTTTGGACAAAATCTGTCCACAACTAAGGAATAACTGGGCTTACAAACACCAAAGAGATGAAATCTGGTGTTTTTCCAGTCTCTGCTCCAGGACACGCCCGTGATGGCTTTGGGGTGTCCAGCCTGGGGACAAACACATACAGAGGATGTGCTGGAGGCCTTTAGCTTTTGCTGAGGAAAATGGCTTCCTGCTGTGAGCGCAAATACTAATGAGAACCCTGATCTAGCTGAAAAGGATCAGAGGAACTTCAGATGTACCAGAAATGGAAGGAAAATATTGGGTCCGGATCAAATCCGTCTGAAACCGAACTGAAAACAAAAATCCAACTAACTGGGAACTGCTGCTGTTGGCCAGTTTCCTCAAACTCTTTTTGACTTTTGGCAATGCTCACTCGTCCATGTGCTTTTTGTCCTCCAAGGTTTTTTTTCCTATTGTATGCAATAGCAATTTCCAAGTAACGTTTTTACCTTTGATATACAAATGCCCCGTATTTCCCCCACGCAATCTAGATAACTTCACTAACAAACTACTTTTACTCCTAAAAAGCCACTCTTTTGTATCACAACCTTCCTTCCCCGTGAGCTGCTGCCCTGTAGTATCACATTGCCCTGGCTGAGGCAATGTACCAAGACAATTCCCAGAGTCTGGTTGATATTCAGTAACTAACTCTCCGTAACTCCATTGCATGCCTGAACCATTAGTAATTTAAAAAAAATGGATAGAAATCTCACAAAAATTTCCAAGAAACATACCATTTTCAGCTCTGTGTGTTGGTCTTTTGGGTTGCTGGTTTTGGACGAGATTTTAAGGGCAAGTATTTGCAGTTGGCTAACAAACAGGCAGAAAAGGCTCATGGTGAACCATAACTCCATAGCAACTGGTAGTTGTCAAGAATATTAAGCAAACTAAGAAAAATTATTTATTGTGCAGTCAAAGTATAGAAAACAGAACCTGGAAGTACAATTCTTACACTGCAAAGAAACATTCCTCCAAAGACCTATCTCTGGGGG